CTTGATGAGCCAAAGCAGTCTGAATAAGAAAAAAGTAAAGGCATCACACTTCCTAAATACAAATTATATTAAAAACTTATAATATTCAAAACAATATGGTACTGGCATGAAAATAGACATATAGATCAAGACATAAACCCAATCATGTATGGTCAAATAATTTATGACAAGGAGACTAAGAAGTCATAATGAGGAAGGGATGGTTTATTCAACAAATGGTGTTGGAAAACCTGGATGAAAAGAAAGAAAAATGCACCCTTATAGCACACAGAGAAATCTGCTCCTCATGAATCATAGACCTAATGTGAGACTTAAACAGTATAATTTATAGAAGTAATCCCAGGAGGAAGCGCCTCTACATTGATTTTAATGATTGTTTTGGATGTTATGCCAGTTCCTCATGCAACAAAAGCAAAAAATAGAAAAGTAGAAAAAAAAAACATAAAAATAAGAAGTCTTTTAATGAAGGAAAGAAAGACACTTTGAAAGATAGCCAAAGAGGGACAATAGCAGGAAGGAAAGATGATATTTAAGGGTGAAACAAAGGCCCAGCTAGATGTGATGAATAAAGAATAATGATCTGAAATTGGGTGGGAAGTCGGAAAGAGTAGATAGTTATAGCTTATGAACAATTGGAATTTCAAGAAGGAAGGAGCAGCCAACCCTAACATTGCATTTTGCATAGAAAGGGAAGATGTTAATAAAGAGTCATCAGTCCCTACTACGGGCCTCTCTGACCAAACAGGGGCCTCTGTGGGTATGGCTGGGTGGACCCAGCACTCTAGCTGCTGCGGTTCCTCCTCTGTGGGAATGCTGGAGGCTGTGCTAAAGAATGACATCTGTACCCAGTAGAGGGGCAGGAAGGGACATTCAAAATGGTCCCCTGACTGCAGCTCATGCTTTATAATCCCGTGGATAGTGTGTACCATCACTAGGAATATTCCAACTGAATGCTAGGGAAGTCTCTAGGGCTGAGTGGATATAAAATGCCACATGAACTCAGTCCACACTCTCAGGGAACCACTGTATTCTTCTATCATTTTGGTTACTATACTCGAGGGTTCCTCTAACTCTGTTCTACAGCATTATTATAGTCACCACCATTCAACTTGAAGATATTCATGAAAAGACTTTTTGAGAAATTTCTGTTGTTTTCCTCTGTGGCCAAAGGTATCTGACGGTGGCCTACATATTTTCTTGTGAATCTTCTTCACAGTCAGACACAGATGCATGGGTGGAGTTTCAGTCGGAAGAAGCTGCCAGTGGTCTTCATTTGGACAAAGTTATGCAACTTTCTCTTGACTGAATTACCAAGCTAAAGGCAGCCTAAGTTAATGTGCTCAATAATGAAAGCGATAGTAAGAGCTTCCGGAAAGTCCACTTCTGTTAATGAGGGGATAGAATGGAGAACTATCAGAAGGATTTTTATTTTAAGTATAGCCAGTCTTTGCTCAATGGTAGAAGAAAATCTTTGAAATACACAGAATGCAACTACAGAAATGTTCTCATTAGGTGATCAAATTTTCGAAACATTTATGGGGACCCTATATATTTTTTCATAATAGTAAATCCTGGGGTCCAAATGAGAAACTATAGTGTATTTTGTCAAACCTGCATACAAACAGAAAATAAGCAAAGAACCCAAACATAAGTCAGCACCTTGGATTCTAGGCTCAGGGAATGCATTGCTATTTGCACCCTGACTGGGAGCTGCACCTGCCTTCCCTACAGAAAGCTGATTTGGTCTGAACCAGTAATCAAGGAAGATGGGCAGTGGGTCACAGTCAAAAAAGATTAAGAAAGGTGTCTAGAATATGAAGTCATTGACGGGCTCAAGGCTGAGCTTGGTCACATTTAATCATGGCTATATTTTAATCATGATGAGCAGCACCATCAGCAAAACTAGGAATGGAGACTTTTTACCAGGGAAGTCAACAATTCTATAAAATCACAAATGTGCCTGAAATGACTGGGAATTTGAACAATAATTATGTTGATGAATGCGCCCATAGAAGCTGCACCCAATGAATAATTGCAGTCACATACACAGAAAGACAGACCAGAGAATGACCCATGAAAGTACAACAGAGATGCCTCAAATGTCCCTGAAGCACAGAAAAACAGCAAGAACATAAAATCCACCCATTACAATATTAAGTACTTAAATGACACTAATCTTGCTTTGGCCATAAGAAAAGGCTCAGGAAGTCTGAGATCTCCTCTAGCCAAGCAGAGAGGGCAGCAAGTGCACATCAAGGGCGGGTAGTCCAGCTGTGACGGCTGCTGACAACCTGGTCATGCAGGCTGCTTTTGCTCATGGGACTGATTCCTGTTCAAGTGCAGAACAAGCCTAGCTTTTAATGTGAGCAAATATGAGCAGGAATACAACATGGTGAGGCAGAGGTATTTTTAAAGAAGTCTGAGAGAGATGGTTAAATGCATTTGGAGATATTACTAAAATAATAAAATATTAACTACTTTTTGCAATTCCCATAAGACAGTGTTTTTCGAATGGTAAAAGCTACCCTCAAATGAATGTCCCTGACAAATGACCTTTTCCTTTCTTTATGTATAACATGTGCAGTTGTTCTCTCTTATCTGTGGGGAATATGTTGCAAAACACTTAGTGGATGCCTAAAACTTGGGGTAGTACTAAATCCTGTATATGCTATTTTTCCTACACATACATACCTATGGTAAAGTTGAATTTATGAATTAGGTATAGTAAGAGATTAAAAAACACTGATGATAGAAAAAATTATGACAATGCTCTGTAATAAATTCAACAGCATCACTACCTTTGTGCTTTGTGGCCATTAGTACATGAAATAGGGTTACTTAGACACAAGCACTGTGATATGCAACCATCAACCAGTTAACCAAGACTGCTAAGCTGCTAAAGGGCAGGTAGTGTTTAACATGAGGATACCCTGGACAGAGAATGAGTCCTGGCCCAGGTGGAATCAACAGGGATAGTTCAAGATTTTATCACGCTATTCAGAACAGCATGCAATTTATAACTTAAGCTTTGTTAATTTCTTGAAATATCAATTTATTATTTTTGAACCACAGTTGACTACAGGCAACTAAAACTATAGAAAGTAAAACATGAAAACACAGAGACGGGGCAACTACCACACTCTTTATTGGGATTCATTCAGAATTTACAATATATGAGCCTTTAAGTCTATGTACAATAGGCTCTGTCTGGGAATAAGGTGCAAGCAAATGAGTCAATGTCTTATGCTGAGAAATTTCTCAGTAATTATAGAGCAATAACTTTGCCACTAATGTCTAGCACAACGTAAGTTTTTGTCCTCTTTTACCCATTGGGATCTCTATTAAATTTCATTTCTATCATTTGCTCTCCATGTTCTTCACTTAAATTTTCCACCTGGGCTCCCATATGACCTGAGAAACCAAGTAAAGAGCAGGGGTCAAAGAAATAATATTGTGCATTTAGTGTGGTTGGTTTGGAAAATTGAGGAATGGATTCAGACATAAGGAACTTGGCAGGCAGGACAGTTCTAGATTACTCCCATTTCAATGAAAATATTTTTGTTTGTTTGTTTTTGCCCTCATTTATCTGTGGATATCTCTATGAAATTTCATTTAAAGAAAATGCCTAACTATAAAAAAAAGTTCTAGGTATGAACAACCATTTGGAAACTTTGGATATGATCTAACATATACGCCAGAAATGATTCTTTCTGTTTCCTAGGAAACTGTCTCAGAAATTATTAAATTAACTTGATAAAAAAACAATGTTTAAGAATGAAAAAAGAGTATATCTGAGATTCAGATAATTAGAGATCAAATATAAATTGAAAAAAAGAAGAATCAAACTATTAGCTTTCTATCTCAGTCTGGATTCTACAGTAAGATACAGTAGTGCTTCTGTGCTTCACAGAATACTAAGTAAGCAGAATGACCCTGAGGCCTGATTGAGTGTAACTCCAAGTGCCTTTGGACTTTGCCATAGACCTTGGGACCCTACCCTAGGAGCTCCTTTAAAAGGCATTCTATAAGGATGCACGCAGTACTAAGTTCTATGGTTTTCAATAACACAGAGACGCATACCCAAGGATTCTTGCTAATTTTACATTACATTGTAATGTCATTGACTATACCGATATGTACATAAATAACACTGCTTTCAGTATTAGCTTTTCTTGAAATATAACAGACAATGAGCTTTCTGATTCTCACCAAAGTCCCACTGTAAGTCATGGCACTGCCAGGATAGAAGAACTCAAAAATACTGTGACAATATATTAGCAACATACTCCAGCTTTGGAAGTCACGTTCTGCCCTTCTTAACAAACAGCATGTGATTCCTTCCGAAAGCGACACTTATCCCTGGCACAATGTCAGGGACTACCTGGATCTTCTATCTGCTTCAACTGTGCTGACTCACACGACCTTTCTGAAGATATATTTGGTTCATTTTTCTAATATCAAACGTATTCACCCATTGTTCTTAACAAACAGAAGAGAATGTGACGGTTCCCCGGTCTCTGGTGCTGTGAAGCATTTTAGGGAACATTTTTTGCCAAGCCGTCCCTTGCACTGTCATGCCTCCCTTTCTACAGGACTCCACAGCTTGCAGCATCTTATTCTAGCTTCTACCTTAATGAGGCGTCTCTGACCCTGTCCCTGAAAAAGTAGGCTTTTAAGAAAGTAATTAATACTTCTCATTCCTCTAACAAAGCTTCTTAAAGAAACAGTATGCATTCAAATTAGTTCTTAAAATGTACATTGTGGAAAATTCATTCACATATAGTCTAAGCATGAATAAATGTTAGGTTATGTTCTGAGTGTTGCAATCCTTTTCGTACCAGAATATTGAAAGAGAAAATCGTCATTTTCCCCAAACAGACAGAGGCTTCGAAATTTTTAATACCAAAGAAAATATTTTTTTTTTGTAGAAATGTAAAAAATGTGTTATTTTTTTTCAATAATTCATACAATATGGCTTTATTGTAAAGTAATGATCTTACTTGAATATAGGTAGAGCAATATTTTCCTTTGTTGTGGTCACTTCTTTGGCAATCTCAACATTCTGGAGAGCAGTCTAGAGGCAGAAATAATAAAAGAAAAAGAGGAAATTCTATGAGCATACCAAATAGAAGAAATGAAATCTATATACTGAAATGTATTCAGTTCACTCATGAGGCAGACATGCATGCTGTATATACTTACTGATATCATGCTGAATTTTCCCACATCTCCTTGTCAATTTCTAGGAATAGCTTAAATCCCTATGAATCTTCAAGAGCAGAAATAAGATATTTTCCAAATAGCTAATGTCATAGATTAATTTCTGTGGAACACAGGGTAGGAAATTGGCTTTAAGGGAAATACAAGGGGATATTTGGTAATTGGCCCCAAATTTCACTTGCTAGTAGTTGGCATTTGGATCTAAACTGTGAAAACCAAGGTCTTTAGAATAAGACCTCAATTTTAAATTAGCGATAATATTTAAGAGCCTTCAATGTGTGGAATAGCCTACCGATTTGAAGCCAAGATGTGATGACTTTTTTATGAGACTTAGCTATTAACTCGGTTCTATGTTGGGAGAAGGGATTGACCCTTTCAGAGGTAATGAAGTTTAAGGCCTGAGCTGCAGATTACTCATTCCAAAGGCTAGGATGATGTTTCTGCCTTTGTCACTTAATTTTTAATGATCCCATTTATGTTACTTGTCCTTTCGTGAACTTAATCGTAGTGTTGAAAAAACTCTAATACTTTCATAAAATGTTAGCCAGATGACGTATCTGTCTTTACTATTAAAGTGGTATGTGGGGCTGCATGCATAGGAGTCATTTTGTAACTTAATTGAAAATATACAACATGTTCAGGAGATGATTCTGAGCTTAAATCAGGTTCAGATTCAATCAGATATCTATACATTTTTAAAAATGTCCGCAGAAAAATATGAAGCATAGCCAAGTTGAGAACCCTAAATTAGAAGGAACAGCACTTCTCAGGTATGATAGAAATGATTCTGGCGTAACTTCTGAGGATCCTGCACCCTGGCATAGTCCTTGATTCTGGACTGAGTTTGTGTGACCACCATGAGCTTCCCTTCTGTGATAAGTTTCCATTAGATGACAAAGGGGAGGGGACTTTGTAGCTGTACTATGCCAAATCCGGATTTTTTTTTTCCAGTACTAGAGATTTAACTCAGGAGAACTCGACCACTGAGGCACATCCCAAGCCTTATTTTGTATTTAATTTTGAGATGGGGGGTCTCACTGAGTTGCTTAGCACCTCACTGTTGCTGAGGCTGGCTTTTAACTCATGATCCTCCTGTCTTAGCCTCCCAAGCTTTTGGGATTACAGGTGTGTGCCATAGCCCCCCAGCCCAAATCCAGAATTTTCAGTTTACCAATTTGAAGAAAATTATCCTGGGTGGCCTGACTTGATCAGATGGGATCTCTTACAAAGGGTCAGAGAAACATATTGGGACAGATTCTCTTTCTAGCCAGGAAGAAGTAAGCAGCAGGTGTTGGGGCAAGGCTACATGCCTATGTTTTCTACAACTTAGCAGTTAGGAGCTCAGAGTAAACCTGGACTGGCACATCACAAGAAAGGGGAGACTTCAGTCTTTCAAATACAGATAACCAGATTCTGCTGACAACTTAAATAAGCTCAGAAAAAGACCTTGGGTTCACACCATGAGTGTGATTCAATATTTTCTTTATTTAAAAGTTTTTTAAAAAAATTAGAATTATATTTTAAAATATTAATTTCACTGCAGTTATGATTGTCTCAACTTCAAATATAAGTTTTTTTGTCTTTTTCTATAGTTATTTTTCCATGAACTAATATCTTTAGCCTCCTTCTTTTTTCTTCCTTTATTTTTTTTTTCTATATACTCATGGGTTTTATTTCTAAATAACCAATATACATCAAACCTCAATGATGGAAAAAAAAAAAAAAAAAGCCTGCCCATGCATCCCACACCAAGTTTGAGATGTGAAAGTTGTTCTCTAAAGAACAGAATGTTACCCTGAGGCCAGTTGACACATAGTTTCTATGGCTACACAGGGAAAAAGATTTTAAAACTGGGTTATAAGATGGCCAAAGTGAGCATTCTCACAAGTGCAGTTAGAAATAGGACCAAGTGTGAAAAGCCAAGAAATCTCAGTGCCTGGATGTCTTGGCTTATGTCTTCTGTTCACGTACTTCCTAGCCTCAATTCCTCAGCTATCCACTCGTTTTCACTTTTATTCATTTTTTTTAAATATTTTTATTGATTTATTTATATATGACAGCAGAATGCATTACAATTCTTATTACACATAGAGAACACAATTTTTCATATCTCTGGTTGTATACAAAGTATATTCACACCAATTCGTGTCTTCATACTTGTACTTTGGATAATGATGTTCATCACATTCCCCATCATTTCTAACCCTATGTCGCCTCTTCTCCCCTCTGCCCTATCTAGAGTTGGTCTATTCTTCCCATGCTCCTCCTCCCTATCCCAAGATGAATCAACCTCCTATATCAGAGAAAACATTTGATATTTGTTTTCTGGGGATTGGCTAACTTCACTTAGCATTATCTTCTCCAACTCCATCCATTTACCTGCAAATGCCATGATTTTATTTTCTTTTATTGCTGAGTAATCTTAAAAAAATATGGAATGAAGGGGAGGGGGGATAGTAGAGGATAGGAAAGGCAGCAGAATACAACAGACACTAGTATGGCAATATGTAAATCAATGGATGTGTAACTGATGTGATTCTGCAATCTGTATACGGGGTAAAAATGGGAGTTCATAACCCACTTGAATCAAAGTGTGAAATATGATATATCAAGAACTATGTAATGTTTTGAACAACCAACAATAAAAAATTAAAAAAAAAATATGGAATGCTTCATGAATTTGCATGTCATCCTTGTACAAGGGCCATGCTCATCTCCTCTGCATCATTCCAATTCTAGTATATGTGCTGCCGAAGCAACAAGCGAGCACTCATTTTCACTTTTAAACAAGTAACGGGAGCTCTGCAAAGGTTTGAATGTACCTCTGACTAAAAACAAGGAAACCCAATATACCTACACACCAAAACCATAGACAGTACAAAGAAATGCTCATTATAGCTAATGAAATGATTTTTTTTTAAAAGTAAAGAAAGTAGATATATTAATTTATAGAAGATTAAAAAAAGGACAAATCCAAAGTTTCTATCTAATCAGAATACATGAGGAAAAAAAGAAGTTCCAGAACTCCCCACCATGTCCTTCCTTATGTCTGAGCTCCCTGAGGGTCATCTGTCTTTATTTATGCTTTTCTAGGCTTATTATTATTATTATTATTATTATTATTATTATTATTATTATTTTATTATTATTATTATTATTTTATCTTTTTTTTTTTTTGTACTGGGGATTGAACTGCTGGGTGCTGTACCACTGAGCTACATCACCAGCTTTTGTTATCTTGTTTTATTTTTTATTTTTTGTATTGAGGATTGAATCCAGGGGAGCTTAGCCACTGAGCCACATCCCCAGCCTTATTTATTTATTTGTTTGTTTGTTTATTTATTTATTTAATTTTGAGACGGGGTCTCATTAAGTTGCTTTGGGTCTCACTAAGTTGCTGAAGCTGGCTATGAATTTGTGATCCTCCTGCCAAAGTTTCCTGAGACACTGGGTTACAGATATATACCACTACACCCTGCCCCTGTTGTTTTTAAATATAAGACAGAGACTTGCTAAGTTGCCAAGACTTCCTGTCCAGGTCTTTATATGTTTTTTTCTGTATATGATATTCAGGATTTTAAGTTGTACTTAAGTGGGAGAAGGAGGCAGAATGATTTCTACTACAGTTTGCTCAGTACCAAAACTTGATTTTCATGTTTGACCTAAATATTTAACTAGAAAATGTGACCATAGAATTTCAGAGTATATGTTTGACTTTTTAAATACATTGCTAATTTCAGTTATTCAAGTTGTGTTTTTCAATAGAAATATATCAATATTATCTGTGTGCCTTATAATTTTTGGAAAATAAACTTTTATTTTTTTATTCACTGAAAAAATACAAATATCACTAAGAAAAACAATTTCAGCCTTAAGTGGCAAACAGAAAAATTAAAGAGAAGAAAATAAAATTAATAAAATTTAAAGTATTTTGGAATGCTTATCATGTGTGTGAAAATTTAAGAGTCACTCTTTCTGTTGTATTCTATTTTTAAATAATTTTTTTAGTTGTACATAAACACAATACCTTTGTTTTGTTTATTTACTTTTATATGGTGCTGAGGATTGAACCCAGTGCCTGACACATCCAAGGCAAGTGCTCTACCACTGAGCCACAACTCCATCCCCTGGTGTATTATTTAATGAGGTAAGTCTTTATCAAAATACTACTTGTGTTTTAAAATAGTGTTTTATCATAGATTTTATAAAACAAAATCACCCTCTTCTACCAAAGGGTAAATTCTTATATATTTTTAAAACTAATCTTTCTTACATTATGAACAATAAGAACTTCACGAATTTGGCTCTTTTTAAATAGAAACTCATAATTTGAAAAACATTATCAGTTTCAGCATTACAAAAACAATAAGAGGATTGGGGTTGTGGCTCAGAGGTAGAGTGCTCACCTAGCACGCATGGGGCATTGGGTTTGATCCTCAGCACCACATAAAAATAAAATAAAGGTATTATGTCTACCAACTACCAAAAAACAAACCTTTAAAAACCACCACCAACAACAAGAAACAACCACTGCAATTCTTTCTTCCCTAAACTCACTTCAGCACCCTGTTTTAGTTACACACACACACGTATACAGTTTGTGTCCTACAATTATTAGTCTTTTTGTTACAAGATGAAGTGTCTTGTAAATGTTGACAACCTCAAATTAACTTTTTCATCAATGAGTATAAGCATGTATAGCAGAGTGTTATTACATACATGGTTCAGGATTTGTGAGTATGGGGAAGTTTGTGTACTAAAAAACATTTCTAACTGAGGATGATTTGCAAATATTACGTTTTTTAAAACATTTTCTTCAAGACTGTAACAAATATTTTATGTTATTTATAAAAA